TATGGTAGAAAGAGCCCTGAGCAAGATAGAATGTTATACAAAGAGGCTCCCATCAGCTTTGATTTGCTGATATGATCTTCTAAAACAATATTTGAATACATTTAGGCAGAGCATACACATTGTTGCTCCCACGGCTCCTTACTCAAACTGTTTCCCTGGGCCCTGAAGACATTCAAACTTGAAAGCTGTGTCCTAGTCACATCTTTAACTACAGTGGGGCCTTGACTTACGAGTTTAATTCGTTCCGAGACCAAGCTCGTTAAGGAGCTCGTTAACTCAAATTACTCTATCGACTCAATGCAAAAAATCAGCCGAGAAACAGCTGGTATCTCAAAAAACTCGTTAGTTAGGACACTCTTAAGTCAAGGCCCCACTGTATCTTGGTTGTCCTGAGTTCTTGTAAACGGACAATGAATGGGTTCGTGCTGCCTGTCACTACTTGAGCCAATTAAGCAGAGGCAGGGTTGAATCATATATGAGCGGTTATTCCAATACTGAGGGCAATATGGGTGAGCAGCAGGGTAACAACAAAAATCTGCTTTGCCCTCCACCACAAGCCAGCTGCTTGTATGGGTAGAAGGAAAAGATTACATGGGGAAACAGACAAAAAGGGTATGCCAAAAGGCCAGTTTACAGGTAATGAGGCTGGAGATTTGTAATGGCCTGCGGGTATGCAAAGGCTGGGGGTCTTCAAAGGGCCAGCTATGGTTTCTGGCTATGATTTCTGCAACAAGGTTGTTAATCTTTCCATGATAATAGACAGCTCCCTGTTGGGGAGGATGGGCTTCGTTTCCAGATGAGCTCCCAGCCAGGTTAGAATGTGCCTTCTTTAATCAGAATAAAACAATCACGGTTAACAGAGCATGATTAATATCTCTAACAATTCTAGCTGGTTCCCAATAAGTGGGATCTCCTTCTGTTGCACCTGTTGCACAGTGATATTAGGAAGTAAAATGATCTATATATGAACCAATAAAAACTTTTGGTGAGAAGATAGTATTAAAAAAAGTTAAGGAAAGAAATTGCCTAAATTGATCATAAATCAATATCCTTAAATTATCGACAATAAAGAATAAAATGGTTAGAGCACAGGTGATTAAAAATATAATTTTAAGAATTAAATTTCCTTTTTTTTTTACTCTAAAATTTTCATCAGATTCAATAGCTAAAAGGACCCAACACTTGTCCTCTCTCTGCCTTTTGTCCCTTTGGTAGTTTTGAGGAATAAAATAGCCAAAGGGAAAATGTGGGAGTAAAGAGAAAGATTACATGAATAATCTTTCAGGCTCTGAAATAATCTAAAGAGAAATAATCTAAAGAAGAGATGAAAAGAAGTATGTAACTACAGGAAAAAGAAAATTTGGAATCTTTGACTCGGAGCAGGCCAAAAATTTCGGTATTTTTGTCACTACAAATGGGCACTAAAAATATAATCTTTTGTTTTATCTTCTCTACACTACACTACATTACTAGATGGGTAGTAAAAAGTTTGGTAAAGGGAAAAATATTTTAGTTTTTAAGATTTTAAAAATTCAAGCCACCAATTACTTACTGAATATCTACTCTGAGTCTAATATGTTAAGGATTAACAGTAGATTGTAGCATTGCTCCTGCCTTCAGGAAGCTTATTATCCTTAAAGACACAAGAAATCATTAGATAGTGGAAAAAGTCTTGAGCAGAACAAGAATATGACCTACTATTACAATTAACCATGGAGTTCAGGAACTACAAGACCCACATACTTGCAATGTGTAGTTCATTAAATTCAATTGCTCTAAGAATTCAAACATTCCTTTTAAACACAGTGAAAGTTTAGAGTCTGTGAACCTCAAATATTTCCTTCAATTCTCCACTTCCAGGAAAATCTGATAAAAGCATTGCTTGCTATGCTAAACAATTAAGGATGAACCTGAACCTCTGGCAATTGTTTTCTCTGTGACCTTATTGTAACATTTCCTATTGCATGTCTAACATCCAAAAGGTATTATCTCTTCTTTACACCATGACTGTGGATATTTAGAAGAATGAAGCCCAGTTCCTACCTTAAGGGAGTTTACCTGAATAAAAAAAGATGCATGCAGTTTTAATACAATGCAGCTAAGTATAACAGGCATGTACAAGGTACCCCTGGGATATAAGAAGGGCACACACACACCAGGAAAGGGCAAGGTTTCTCTGATATAGAGGAAGGGCACATATCAGTTTGCTCCATTGTTAGTGATGCTAAATTTGACCACATGAGTAAGGTGACAGCCACTTGAGTTCTCACTGTAAAGGTACCTTTGTCTCTCTGTAAGCCTGTTGGGGAACAAGATGGGTAGGAAGGTGTAAAATTCCTGGAGAAAGTGGGATCCAGCTAAAGCAGAGAGGAAGAGTTAAGAATATCCAGGCAGAAGGGATATAGCAAAGCATCAAGCTGACAAAAACTAGAGCATGCCCTGGAGTGACAAGCAAAATGTGCCAATAAGTCTAAGAGGTGGGCCATTAATAGATTATGCAGGGCCTTGAAAGCCAGTGTTGAGACTGGTTTATCTTCTAGTCTAGTAGTCTTCAAAATGTGGTGTGCCCGGGGATGGGGGATAATGTTTAATTGCCTTTTAAAATGTCTATACTTGTGTGTACATTTCATAGTGGACAATATTGTATGTATATGACCATTAGCTGAAATCAGGACCATGAGAGGACGGAAGGTGCAGAGAGAATGAAAGCTGTTACACTTACTAAGTACTTAAAAACATCCAGGATGAGCTGTTTAGCAGGCAGCTGTATATAAACTGGAGATTTTGCCCTGGCCAGTGTTTCCCAGTGGTTAGAGACTGCACACCAAAGGATCACGGGTTTGATTCCCAAAGGCATGTACTTGGGTTGCAGGTTCACTCCCCAACCTGGCTGGGACACATGCAGGAGGCAACCAGTCAATGTTTCTTTCATATCAATGTTTCCCTCTCTCTCTCCCTCCCTCCCTTCCTTTCATGCTCTCTGAGAAGCAATGGAAAAAATATCTTCAGGTGAGGATTAACAAACAAACAAAAAAGATTAAAAAAATTAAAACTGAAGATCTGGGGAAAGGCCTTTGCCTGGACGTATAGATTTGGGACATCCATTGAATCCATGAGAGAAAAGAGAAGTGGACCAATGGTAGAACTCTGGGAAACACTAACATTTACAATAACACAATTACTTTTTTTCAAAAGTAAAATTAGAACACAAGGAGCAGAGTGTCCCTTTTTTTTTTCTTTTAAATATGTTTTTATTGATTTGAGAGACAGAGAAAAAACATGTGAGAAACATCGACCTGCTGCCTCCTACATGACCCTTACTGGGGATTGAGCCCAAAACCCGGCACATGCCCTGACCAGAATGCAACAGGCAACCTTTCAGTGCACAGGACGACGCTGAACCAACTGAGCCACACTGGCCAGCACAGTGTTTGCCCTTTTTAAAATTTAAAGAAGTTCCCAAAGATTAATACAAAGTTACTGTTGATCTTCACTATTTCCATTAGTGTATGAAAGTGAGGCTCAGTGCACCATGAAGAAACATTTCAGCAGCAATCCAGGATGATAATTTTTCTTGCTGTTTTGGGGGGCAGTCAATAAAAGTTCACCATGAAACTTGGGCCTTTTGAAGAAATGGCTTGATTACAGGGCTGGGCTAGGGAAATTGCAAAATGAGCCAGAAAACACCTTGTATCAAAAAGCAAGGAAATGCCAATAGGATATAAGAGTTGGCTTAGAAGGACTCTCACCAAATTTGGGATGAATTGAGCATCAACAAGAATAACGAATTTTGACACATTGAATATAAAAAGAATCTGTGAGTCCACAGTAACATTCAAATGTGAAAGAAAAGTGGAAAATGGAAACTCTTCTTCACACACACAAAAATGCCAGCTAAATGTAGAAGGATGAAATGAGAAAAGCCTCAAGTTACAACTCCTGTTTAATAACTGATCCAGGTTAATAATCATCAGTAGATATTAAAACAGTGGATTAAAGGTTATTTTTTATATATGTTTTTATTGATTTTAGAGAGGAAGGGAGGGAGGTAGAAACATCAATGATGAGAGAGAATCATTGATTAGGCTGCCTCCTGCATTCCCCTACTAGGGATCAAGCCTGCAACCTGGCCATGTGCCCCCGACCGGAACCAAACCTGGGACCCTCCAGTCCATAGGCCGATGCTCTATCCACTGAGCCAAACTGGCTAAAGGTTATTGGCAGCCGATGCTCTATCCACTGAGCCAAACCGGCTAGCTAAAGGTTATTGACAAAGAAGATATTCACATCGCCTCACAGGTTCTTAAGATAAAGTGAGACAAACTGACATCATGTGCCTCCTGATGTCAAGCAAATGGGAAGTACATTTAATCTAGGCAAAATCTTTAATTTACATCTAATCATGAAGAAACACTAAAACAAATCCAGAATGCAGAACATTCTATTAGCCAACTAGTCTGTACTCTTAAAAAATGTATTAGTTAAGACATAGAAAAAATTAAAAACAACTTTTAAAAGAGGAAGAGGAACTGCTCTGGAGGAAAAAATGAAATGGAAGGATACTAAACTCAATGCATAAACCTTGCCCAGTTCACAACAAAACAAGAACACAAAGATATAAAAAATATTTTGGGAGCAATTGGGTAATATAGATTATGTATTAGATATTAGATGTTAAATTCATTAGGTATGATAATGGTATGCTGGTTATGTTAAAAAAAGATGCCTTTGCTCTTGGGAGATAGGTAATGATATATTTAGCTATAAAGCACCATGAAGACTGAAGTTTATTTTCAAAGGGATCAGGAAAAAGAAAACCAACCAAAGAAAGAAAAAAGATAAATATATACAGAGCGGACAGAAAGCAAATGTAATAGAATGTAAATGCTTGGTGAATTAGAGAAATGAATGTTCATTTTACTGTGTTTCCCAATGTCTCTGTAGTTTTGAAATATTTCAAAATAAAAGCAGGAAAAAGATATAAAGTAATCTATGTAAGGCTAATTACTATAGTTGATTTTATTTAGATATGGTAAATACTAATAAATGATTTAAAACTTATAAAAAAAGCTCATCATAAAATTCCTTCCCATTAAAGCTAATGAACCTATAAGATTGACTAACATCACCTCTGGCCAGTGTTAGCACATAATTTCTGCCTTTATTTCCCCCACGAGTCAAGAATCATATTTGCTTTATCTGTAAAACTAACAAATCAATAAAATGCTATAAAATTCAGACACCTTATAAAAAACAATTTAACATTGGAAAAGCTATAATCTTTTGGTTTTAAAATAATTTATTTCATAGTCTGTTTTAATTTCATGTCTCAGAGCATACATTATTTAACCAAGAGATGCTGGACAGAGATTGTAAAAAGGAAGGAAACATTTAGGATAAGAAACTGCCTCAATTTCATTAGAATTTGATCCTACTTTATAAAGTCTTGCTAGGATAAATTTCTATCATACTTCTTTTGTGCTTACAAAAAACATTAACTTCTCAATTGCCAATGTTGTAAATAAAAATCTTTACAATTAAGTATGCATTCAATTGACACACAGGCAACCAAATAATTGTCATCAACATTAGTATAATGTGTATTTCCTGTCACTGCACTAACATTAAACTAAACTTCAAACCACAAAAACATTGTGACTAACATTAAAAAGGCAAGCTGAAGATACTCAAAGCTTATAAAGGACAAATTGCACATGGTTAAGATGGGACATCATTTGACAGGGGCTGATGTTGTGCATATGGCTGCTTTTTTTTATAAGAAGGCCACCGGCAAACAGGGCAACAGTGTCGGCCCCCAGCCAACCACATCGCAATGCAATTCTGATGGAATACATGACCACAAGGCAACCCCATTAGCAAACATCCATTTTCAAAATTCTCTAGACAAACAACACATTCAGTACAGTGCAGCATATCAGCAGGCCAAGTTAACCAATCAGGTTCCATATCTTCATTAGTGTTATATGATCCATATGACCTCCCTTTCCTTTCATGTAGGCTGGTCTGACAATAATTATTGGCACATGAACAAGCCTCAGCACCACAGTGACTTACTCTTCCTACAGAATTGTGAACTATGCTTTGTTTATCTTCAAATACTTCCTTCTCACTACTAAAAGTGTCTGTGCTCTCGACATCCGAGTCATTTTCAATATCGTGAGAACTCGCCGACATTTCCTCTTCAGACAGGATTCCCAGACACTTAAATTGCCACATTGGCAAGTTTTTTATATAATCAGTTGGTATCAAGGGGTGAAGCCAAAGGTCAGGGAAAGCTAATCGCTCCAAGTATAAGTCGGGGTCTTCATCCCAGTCAGATTCCACAGGGAAGTTCTGAAAAGAAGCAATTGGGTGGAAGAGGTAGCTGGTGTACCAGTCCCATAGACTTGATAACCACTCTAAGTTATTGGCATTGATGTCATCATTGTTGCGTCGTCTCTTCTTCTCAAAGTAATCAATTAGTAAACCATGTCCAAGGTATGTACTGAGAAACAGGGCTGGGTGTGAAGAATAAAACATCCAGTCCGCTCTTACCCATGAAGCCAGTGTGGTTGTATTAGAATATCTCAACAATTTTAAGCTATATTCATAAAAGCTATCTAAGTAAGGGAGCTGCAAAAAGCCCAACACTGGTAGCCAGGAAATAATTAATAGAGAATTATATGTTCCTAAAGTGCTTATGAGAACCACAAATCTCTTTATGGTAGCTCCTTGTGTGATAAATAAGTCCATCCAAGCCATAAGGTTAACTAGAACCAAGCTCAAAACAAACAAATCGTTTACTTCAGGTTGTAATGAGCGCAAAAATGAATCCATGGCCTGAAGGGATATAAATTCACCTGTGTGATTTCCATATCTGTAAATTCCTTCAGGAGTTCTAAGTATGTATGATGGCATGTTATATACACCAATATCTGTCATATAACTCCTGTTGTCCCAATTTTCCACATTAACAAAAATAAACTCAACTCTTCCAGTAAACTTTATACTTAGTGCAGAGAAGAAAGCTGGGGGTTGGTCAAGGTTTGCAAACAGGTATATTTTTACCCAATATTGATCACTTTTATTCCATTCTTCTTTTAGATGTTCAGCATTATAAATTGTTTTGATCCGAGAAGCTGCATGAGTAGTTATCCACTTAAAAATGTGTTCTACTTCAATCTTGCGTCCACTGTATTCTTTAAGCATGACTTTCCCTTTAGAAGTACTTGTTTGTGGAACAGACATAATGAGTGTGGATCGTACCCAGCCTCTTCTCTTGCAGTATCTATAAGAGAGGAAACTGTAAGTAAACAGCTGGGCTGCTAGATAAGCTTCCTCAGTATTGTGCAAACAATCTGTCTTCTCCTGACAAATTTCTTTAGCACTTGAAAGATACCCTCTCCCCCAAACCGAATAACCTCTACAAAATCAATAGTAATATCAATATCTCACAGTTTGTACAAGAGTTTGAAAAGTAAGCTCTCTTTTTGTAGTTTTTTTGTTTTATCTCTCTTTTTAAGAAAGTGTAGGTTGAAAAGTCAAGGAATCAGCAAATACTTCAGCATCTATTATGAACCTACTAAATGCATTAGTGTCAATAAGATCCAAAAGATAATAGAAAAATAATTCCTGCTCACCAGGAATTTAAAATCATATTAAGGAAACAAAACAAGGATAAAACTGTATATATTCCATTACTAAATAATGTTAAGAAAAAGTTCAGAAAAAGGAATATCATTGGAAGTTTGAACTGGTGAAGATTTTGTGAAAGGTTTGGGAACTAAAGTAGGTCTTGAAGATTCAGATGAGCAAAGACGAGAGAAGAAAATCGATTATCCTACAGCACGAGTCCTTGACTTGAATGCAAGCTCTCTGAGAATAGGAGCCATGCTGTACCCATTTATTAACCAAACACCCACCATAATGCCTGATGCACACAGGCAGTTAAAAGTAACGTGCACAAAAGCTCATCTAGAAAAGAGCAAGTCCCATATTGTTTTGTAGTCTCTCATCTCTTTAAAGAAGACCATGAAGAGGAGTGTTTAACAAAGAGGAAACAAAGACAGTAAGTTTTCAGTTTAAGAAGAGATTCAGTCTAACTATGACCCCATTTTATAACAGTATAAGTACAAAAAAATTACCTAAAATTAAATTGTCATGACTCCAATCCCTTTGAAAATGGACTGATTCTTGCTATAATAATTGTGACATCCTTCTCCTCTAAAAAAACCAGATTACAAATGAAAGGGAATACTAAAAAATAAAAATGGCTGTTGTATTACAGTGGTGAGATAATAAATAAAAGTTTTCTTTTAAAAAAAAAGGTTTTTGTTTTTTTTTTTCAAAAACCTACCCTGTGGAATTTTAAATTATATAAATGTACTTTAATGAAGTTGGGGGAGGCAGGGGATTACCATGTGGATACATTTTTTTTTTTTAGTACAAACATCTGTCTGTTGATACATTTTGTTTGTTACAGATTTGTAAATGGATGGTAATAAAGTAAAGACAGCATGTTCTGTCATAAAGACAAGGTTAGTGATGACTTTGGGAAATGATCTGGGTGACTCAGAATCATAGACCATAACTCAGCTTCTTGTTGAGTTGATTCACTTCCTTAACAAGATCAGATTCCATTAAAATCAATATTGCTTTAACTGAAATGGTTTTAGAATTATATATCCTAAAAAATAAAATATGTTCTATCCCTTAAAAAGGTATTTTTCTAATGCAAAATAATAATTCATTGATATTAATTATATTTTTACCCCTCAAATCAGCAAGTTAAATACATATATAGATAACTGCCTTATTTAATCTTAAATATCTTTAAATAGCTTTATTTTTTTAATCGCATATGGTAGTTATGATGACACATTTCTTCTCTTGGTCATTCTTTTTATCTTTGAAACCACTTCAGAGAATATTTGGCTTCTGATTTGTGTTATAAATGGAACAACAGCCTTTCTAATAGAAAACCTTAGTCCGTAAAACAGGCAGTTTTAGTGTATATTATTTTTTTCATACAAGAAAACAAATGTACTATGTGCTTTCTTTTCAGTTCAGAGCTAAATGATAGTTTTAAGGTTCATCATTACAGATGGAATTTAAGAGTACCCAGGAAAAAATAATTCTGCATGTTATCATGACCTTTCAAATTAAATGTTTCCAGACTTGAAAAAAACTCTAATACTTATTTATCTAAGCACAGTTCTAAAGAAATAAAATACACAAATCAAGTATATCATTAATTTAAAATATACTGCTAAAGAGAAGTAAAGCCTAATGTACATATTATTTTTAAAGAATGTTATATACTTATAAAACAGCAGGCTACTAATATATATATATATCTAAACACCATTCTAAAAAAAATCTAATACACAAAGTATATCATATTAATTTAAACTTTACTGCTAGAGATAAAGGCAAATGTAAATATTATTTTTCAAGAATGTTATTTTTTATCTGTATAAAAATGTTTACTGCCAATTAAAAAAAAAAAGCTTTTTAAAGGTCTGAATAAATTCAGTAACACCACCATGAAAATATCCTCTAGTTTTTAAAGTAAAATTTTTGAGATCTCTTAGAGAATTTGAAGACTAAAAATGATAGAAAACATGGCTTATGAGTTTTGGTACTTGAGTTTCTGGCGTGGCATTGGTATTCTGTTTATATAATGCCGTTTCTTCAGATGAAGTCATTGGTCATCTTGGCCTTCCTCCAATCTTTCCTTCACTGCTTACTCCATGGTCCTCCATCCCTGATAATCTCACTATACACCGCCCTGTTTACCACTTAGCTTCCTGCAATTCCAATGTCCTCCCATTTGTTCTTCAATACCCCTAATCTCTCTAACCCTACCCTCATCCCCTACAAGATATATACTCATTTCATTTTCTACTTTCTCAAAAAAAAGAAAAAAAAAGAGAGTATAGACCTGAAAGGTACAGCTATCTGAGCTAGATCCCTTGTTGGGGGAATGAAGGGAACTATGGCCAGGCAAGCTGGATACTCAAGTACAAAAATTAAAACTTCTGCTATGGAAGGAGTCAGACACTGCCCAGAAGTGGTGGTCCTGAACAGTCTCATGGGGCGAAAAAGGTCAAGAAAGTACTGGCAGTTATTTACTTTCTCTCTTTTGCTTCTTTTGTGTTCTTCCTAGTGAGGGACACTCTTACTTGTATGTCTTCAGTCCTTTTTGTTTCACTTTTCTTTCCCAGAGAGATTTCACATTTATGGCTTTTGGTGACATCTTTGTACTTACCTAATCTTCTTCCATAATTCTGATCTCTGGTTTGCATTTTGACATTCATTTTCATGTGCTCTACCATTATCCCTAATACATTGTGTTCCCTCAACCTAGTATCCAAATTCAGATTCATCCTCTTTTTCTTTAATAAACCATGTGCCCTTTCTACCTTTCCTTTTCTATCTTTTATTGTTTGTTTTTTCCATTTTCTCAGACAAGAATCCTTACAGGCATTTTTGTTTTTCTCTTTGTCATCATCTCCAGTATTTAGTCTGTCAAATTGATTTGTTTTATTTTTTCCATTTGTTCTTTATATTGAATTTTATTTTCATTTCTAGTGCCATCAAGTTATAACTTAAATTCATCTAAATTCATCTATTCATTTAATTATCTATTGAATAAATTTTTGTTTTAAAAAAAAATTTTTTATTTGAGAGAGAGAAAGAAAGAAAGAAACATCGATAGGTTACTTCCAGTACATGCCTTGACCGGGAATCGAACCGGCAACCTTTCAGTGCACAGGTTGACGCCCATCCAACTGAGGCACACCAGCCAGGGCACAAAGATGAAGATTTTGATGCACAGCTACTTGTATCAGTTTCAATAATGTCATGTTCACGTTTCCTTTTCTTTGGAAAGGCTTTCACTTAGAGCCGTGGTCGGCAAACTGCAGCTTGCGAGCCACATGCAGCTCTTTGGCCCCTTCAGTGTGGCTCTTCCTAAGCCTTAGGAGTACCCTAATTAATAACAATGTACCTACCTATATAGTTTAAGTTTAAGAAATTTGGCTCTCAAAAGAAATTTCAATCGTTGTACTGTTGATATTTGGCTCTGTTGACTAATGAGTTTGCCGACCACTGACCTAGAGTAAGAACTGTTCTTGTTATAGAAGCTGTGCTTAGTCAGGGTTAGTTGTTTCTTCTTTTGAGGATTATGGAGATACAGAAGAACTGGCCAGGGAATAGAGTTATTCAGCAAGTGTTTTAATCATATTTTGAATAATTTAGTCATCATTTTGATCTCGGATTTTTAAAACACCAAAACTCTCTACTCCACTGTCTGTGTTCTTTTTTTCTTTTTCTTTTTTTTTTTTTTAATCTTCACTCACGGATATTTTTCCATTGATTTTTAGAGAGAGTGGAAGACAGAGGGAAAGACAAAGAAATATTGATGTGAGAGAAACTCATTGGTTGGTTGCCTAATCAACTTACCTGGGGTCACTAGAACAGTTGAAAGTGCCTGTCCGTATTCCAAATCTTGACACCTTTTTCACCATTTTCTCCCAATGGATTTTACCCACTAAGGGACTTCTGTCGTTTGCTATGACCTATTTCCCCCCAAAGAAAAACAGAAACGTTAATAACTTAAGATAGAGTCAAACCAACCATTTTTAATATAACTTCACTTAAAAAAAAATTCTGTTCACAGTTCTTCTTTGCTGTACCATCATATCACAACTGCAATTCTTATGAAAGGAGCCACTGTCCAACTGGACAAGACTTAAAATACTGAATACAGTACATTCCACTCCCACATTCTGTGCTAGTTACACAGAAGGGGAGTCAAAGCCATATTAAAAAGCTAGCCACATCCCTTTCTCTACCATGTGGCCTGTTCTCTAGAATTAAGTTTCATAGGTTTAAGAAAATGGCCCTTGGAGTCATTTCTCTGCTCTGAAAATTTTAAACAATAATACAAATAAAGCTTACTTCAAAATGATCACCTGTGGGTTCAATGAGTTCAAATTTTACTTTTTTAAAAGTATAATTATGGAGCCAAGAGTCAAACACATGTTTTATATTAAATTATGCTTTGACTAAAATCAATACTACTACTTTCATGTCCTTTCATAAAAATTACGAAAGGTTCTAACATATAAAAAGAATTACCATAATGAATTCTACATTTTTGAACTACTTCAAATATGCAAGTTGCTTTCAAACACAATTAGCATTGAGAGCAGAAAATATTTTTTTAAGAGAAAAACAAAAAAACTAAATTAACCTAAGTAAATGAACTTTCAAATTATGTAATGACTTCTCGGTCTTTCTAATAGTTAACACCAGTAAAAAACAAAACTTAAAAAAAAAATATATATATATATATATATATATACATACACACACACACACACACACACACACACACACCCCACAGCCCTGGGCAGGATGGTTTAGTTGGTTGGAGCATTATCCTGTACACCAAAAAAAAAAAAAAAAGTTATGGGTTTGATTCCTAATCAGGGCTCATATCTAGATTGTGGGTTTGATCCCTAGTTGGAGAGCATAGAGGAGGCAACTAATCAATGTTTCTCTCTAAAAATTAATAAAAACATATCCTCAGGTGAGGATTAAAAAAACAACAAGAAACACAAACACAAACACAAATAACTAAATAGGAACTAAAGGAAAGCCAAAAATATTTGTTTGATTTAAGCCCAGGGTGTATATATCCCAAGTGTTATTGTTTTTTCATGAATGCTGTATTACTAGAACTATTTAATTCAAAATTACAACACAATACTCGGAGGGCCTCTAATCTTTCTGGAAGGAAGGGCTATTTTCATGTTCACAAAGTCTCCAGGAAGTGAAATCCCAGGGGAGTGTGTGAAAAGAGTGCCAATAGTCAAATCCCAGGAAGAGGCGGGAGACAGCACAGCTACCTCATCTGTGGAAGTCTAACAAATTTCAAGGAGAGAGAGCACATGGTAGTGACAAATGACACTGTAAGTGCCAACAGTCCAATAAACCCTGCCATATACCATTGGTGATATCATCCTTATGCCTACAGAGACATACATACATATGTAACATTTTGTAACAATTTTGAAGCTTAATAAGTACACATACATAGTACTTTTTAGTGACAATAAATGGTCTTATTTAGGAAGGCATAAGTTATTATTCAAATGCTGAGATGGTTGAGGTAACCAGAAAAAGGGCAATTTGAAGACATGATCTTAGTAGATTAGATGAAGGCTCTTTCTGAGGAGGTTCACATCAGTTACAAGTCAGTCCCTAGCTTTCAAATTTTTCCACAGTCCAAAGGTGCTGTATAAATTTTACTTGAAGAATAAGGGAGATCAAGCAAGACAAGCATTTCTTTTCTTTTTTTCCCTACCACTCAAGAGTCAATGTAGTAGTTCTTTTTCCTGCCAAGTAATCAAAGAAATCATAAACTTATTTTTCAGATTACTCAGCGTTAAGAGATCACCATACTCCCCGTTCTACCTTCTTTTTAAAAGAACTACCTTTCACTCCCATTTTCTAATCAACCTTGCAAATAAACATTTTCAGGTCTGTCTTTAAAATGACATTGCATTAAGGGATTAATCAAGAGGTTGCTTGAATCAATATAAGGTTTGGCCCTAAGTCTAGGGGCATCTTCCAGTGAAGATCCTGATCACTGCACAGGTATCTTTCAGACTTAGAGTTCCAGGACTAGGAAAGGAAGTAGGAATGACAGGGGATTGTTCCCAGGCACTCAGGTTACAGTACAGACAGAAGTGTGTGAAGAGAGGTGGGAACACTCTTGTGGCAAGTACATGACAATGTTCAACCCCAGGGCCTTATTTATTCAGCAAGCTGTTCCAACACATGCTTTTGGAGTTTAATGATGCCTGACTGAGAGAGCCACACAAAAATGAAAAATCCCCTGGGCATTGCATGAAAGCATTTTATTTGACTCTGTAGTTGTTTATGCAATTAGAAATTATTTTGTCCAATGTCCTAAACAGTTACATTATTCAATTAGAGACTTAGCATAAATGAAATTTGGTGGAGGCTGAATTAAACAACCACTAAAATTTTTTTTTAAAAAATATATATTTTATTGATTTTTTACAGAGAGGAAGGGAGAGAGATAAAGAGTTAGAAACACCGATGAGAGAGAAACATCGATTAGCTGCCTCCTGCACACCTCCTACTGAGGATGTGGCCGCCACTAAGGTACATGCCCTTGACTGGAATTGAACCTGGGACCTTTCAGTCCACAGGCCGACGCTCTATCCACTGAGCCAAAACCGGTTAGGGCTAGAAATCTTAATATTTTCACAAAATAACTGATCTGGCTGAGTCACATGGCACAACAAAACACTGTAAGCCTATTACTTTTGTGTCACACCAGTAAGAGTTCCCAACTATTGCTTATAACAAAAAGTATGCGCAATAATTCTGAAAGGCACTCACACTGCTGGTCTTATTAAGAGGGGATCATATTTCTTGGCAGTTCAGAAAGGATGTTGCAGTCTCTGTTAAGGAATATTTTCAGAGACCAGAAAAAACTAGGTAAAAGTACAGTTCTAAGTCTGCGACAGACTTGCCAACAGGCTAGAAGTGAAGCTATCTTTTCACCCCCTTCCCAAGTCTCTCTAATTGGCATCCCAACACTTCCTCACCATTGTATTTCCTGAAGCTAGTCTAGTGCAGCTAGCCTAACTCACTCGGTATTGATTAAATATTTATGTTGAACCCAACAATTTCAGCTTTTAATGTTTTAGTAACTCATTCTCTTTCTCTGATTATACAGGTTCTCTGAAGTTTCCAAGTTTTTTATTACTGTTATAACGAAAGTGCCTTCCCCAACAACTTGTCATCTGGAATGTTTTCTGGACAAACACTAGCATAAATAGTTCCTTGCTATGTAATTGAGCATCAATGTCTTTAACCCTCGTCTGGCATAAAGACTTCCAATCCAGTATATTTAAAAATACACTTTTCCCAGAAAAAGACTACTGCAATTTTCCTAGGTTCCTTCATTGTGTAATAGACTTCTTTAGGATCCTTTAAGATGCTAGCACCACAATGGACCATCTAACTCAGCTGGGAAAGATAATCAATTATATACTAAGATTTTTACTGCCCCACATATTTTAGTAAACCAAACTGTAAGCTGTTTTATGGCATAGACTATATGTTATTCACATTTGTGTCTTCAGTGCTTATCACAAGGTTTATATATTTGTTAGATGGTTGGACGAATGGATGAAACCAGTAGTTTGCTGGTAAATGTTTAATAACCAGTTCTTCAGAAGAAAAAGGAAGCTCTGATTTGCTGATTTCCTTAGTATAAATACTCCCAGATGGCCGACTTCAAGTTAGCAACATGACATCTCTACATATGGAGTTGGGAAGAGATGTTAACAATCGCCCTTCATGACACAGCATGAGTTGGCTGCAGCCCATATCACTGGATGGAACTGGGTTGGACAGTATGTGATGCCAAGTGCCCATATTTTCTGATGTCAACCTTATGTATCCAGTTAAACTTACAAGGAAAAACTGGGCTTCAGGTTATTGCCTATTCTCTTCCACATGTACTATAGGTGCTACACTGATATAAGAAAAAGCCACAGACTTTTGCCTACACATGTATTTTAGAGGTGGGCTTTATTACTAATCAGAACATTTGACATATGCCTTTTAATATTGTTAATCCCCATATGACAACATCTAGGCTAAATTAAATAACAACTGCACAGAACACGAGTGTTGTGCTATGATATTTTCTGCATCTCTCAGTAATTCATTTTAACAGAGATTCCACTTTCAAAATTATAGACCAACCTAAACATTTATACACAAATTGCATAAAGTCATTAAAAATGAGTATGAGTGATTGACAAAAACAAAACTCAGTGGCATTTAATTATTATTTTTTGTATTCTCACAAGCTTTCTCTATGAGAAAACATAAAAGTTTTTGACCAATACAAAATAAAGAATAAAGTGGCTGGCTATATATTTCACCTTTGGAATAATGTCAAGAAAGGAATAAATAGGTTAGAATCTTCCTGGACAAAACTATTGTCTAGGAGCAAAGGTGAACAACTTTTAAAACAGCTATTAACTCTTTTCAGCCAAGCAGGAAATACACTAGCATAATACTTCAGTAAATATTGACCTAAAGCTTTATTTCAAATAATATGTTGCTTTTCACTGCTATATCAAGTCTAGTGATGTTAAATTTCCTTATGATGTGACAAAGCCAGTAGAGAACAAATATCACAGTCCTTCTTCGAACAAAAGTCAAAACAGAGAAACAGAAATCTTAAGATAAGGCTAAATCCATAAAACCCATCAAGTATGCAAAGTTTTCCATTTCAGAAGCCTATCCACTATTCTATCTGCCTAAGAGTCTCCTGAAAGAAAGTAATTGTCTTCTGTTTCGTGATACTAAGACTATTGGGTGGCGGCAGAATCAAGGAATCTACAAAACTGAAAAATAGCTAATGAAGGATATAAGCTTAGGTTAGAAACAAAGTAGGAAATAACAGAATGTTAAAAAGAGCTGTTAGGAAAAAGAGCTGTTCTTTCCACTTCATATTATA